AACATCGATGTGCATAAAAATATTAATTATGGGAGAAGGTATGGGAATAGCAATGTTGGAAGGGACACCGAATCAAAAATATTTGAAAGATAGATAAAGGAGTGTCATTTTATTGAAATTGGTCAAGGAGAGAATAAACAAATGAGATCCACAACACTTACTGAAAGACATTAGGGAGGAAGAGAAATTTAAATAATATTAAAATGTTCAGGATGAGGACAAGTTGGAGAGTGCTATAAAGATAGATTCAGGGGTGCCAAGAAACTGAGAAGGGTTGCAAAAATGGATTGTGAGAAAAATAAGGTTCAAAATTTAAGTAAAGCATTGTTCAATCATATCAGGTTTAAAGAAAGGCTACAAAATAGGATGGACCATCAAAAAGCAGTGTGATAATAACTGGTGACTGAAAATTTATAAATTGTTGAAGTATTCAACTGTTAGTTTTCACAAGAGAAACTGAAAAAAAAGTCAGAAATTGAAGATAAAAGTGAATATGGTTAAAATATTTCAAAATCTCATAAAAGAACATTTTCGGAAAATTTAAGAAGGAAGTAGATACATTCTTGCCAACAACACTGCAATGGAAACAACAGCTGGGTCGGCTACATAAAGCAAAGAACTTCTCCAGCCTGTAGCTATTACCGCAGGGGAACTTTTATTTCTCAGGAGGGAGAACCAGTAGGAGGATAGACTGCCTACTTGGGAGGCCAACTGACAACATTTATCAATCTCAACAAATCATAACAGTCAGGCCTCCAACCGAGACTCTCAGGTAGGCAGCCTATTCAACCTACTCACTTGCTTTCCTGGAATTTAAAGTCCCACCTGGGGAGGAACAAATGCAGAATTAACTATTTGCCAGCAAATGAAGATTGGACAATCTGTAGATGGCTCACCGTCAATCAGTTAAGTTATTGATTTGATTTATTATTGTCACATGTACCTAGGTACAGTGAAAAGTTTTGTTTTGCATGCAGTACGGGCAGTTCATACATAAAAAGTGCATTAGGGTGATAGAAAAAAGCGAAGAATACAATGTTACAGCTCAGAGAAGGTGCGTAGAGAACGAGATCAACATTTGAGAGGTCCATTCAGAAGTCCAAAACAGCGCGGGAGAAGCTGTTCTTGAATCTATTCGTACGTGTATATAAACTTTTATATCTTCTGCCCAACAGAAGAGGGTGGATGAGAGTATAACCAGGACAGGAGGGGTCTTTGATTATGTTGGTTGGTTTCCTAAGGCAGCAGGAAGTATAGATGGAGTTAATAGGTGGAAGTCTGGTTTGCGTGATGGTTGGGGTTTTGTTCACAACTCTCTGTACTTTCTTACGGCATTGGGAAGAGCAGTTGCCAAACCACACTGTGACGCATCCAGATTGAACTTGCTAGGAAATGGTTATACCAGAAGCTTTCCTACATTTTCTGGCCCCACAAAGATATTTTCAGAATCATCGCAAAAGTTAAAGATTTTATAAAAATATGAAATGTTCCCAAATGTAGCAGTCTTTTAGATCCAGGTTGTCAGCAAGCATGGATTGTGTTTCTGTACATAACAAGATTGACTATTTATTAAAAATAAATAGATTCTAGCTACAAGTAAACAATTATGAACCGTCATCAAAAGCTTAAACACATAGATCAACAGATTCAAGAACAGCTTCTTCCCCGCAGTTATTAGACTTCTGAATGGACCTTTCAAATTTCAAATCTAATGTTAACCTCACACTTTGTACACCTTCTCTGCAGCCGTAACATTGTATTCCTCGCTCTGTTCTATTACCCCTATGCATTTTGTATAGTATGATCTGCCTATACTCCACGCAAAACAAAATTTTTCATTGTACCTACATACATGTGACAATAATTAATCAAATCAAATCAAAATATAGCTCTACTTATTAGAACTCTAATCTCCTTATTAACACCCTCCTTGCACATAGGCAGAACCAGGCTGGTACATAATAATATGTGAGCATTGTGAGTGAATAGAAAGTCTGAGAAGGGAACTTAATGTCCATGGGATAACAAGGTGTAGAGCCGGATGAACACAGCAGGCCAAGCAGCATCAGAGGAGCAGGAAAGCTGACGTTTCGGGTCTAGACCCTTCTTCAGAAAAAAAAAATGTCCATGGGGTTTGCTGGAAGATCCTTTGGATTGTTAAGACTGGTAGCTCCTTAATCTTCTTTCTCCAGATAGTTTTACTTGCTTGCGTAAGGCACAGAGTAACTGGTTCACAGTTATAAAGTCTCTGAATTAGTGGTTAAAAGCTACAACTTACATCAACTGATCAAGGAAAATAAACTGGTTTACTTATGTATTATTGTACTTACTGTGGACCCAAAGACAGTTCCTTCATTTCCAGAGATCTGATGGCTTCTGACTAATCATTCACACTCACAAGCAGTTCAGCTACCTTTCTTTCATTCATTCACGGGATGTGAGTTTCTCTGACCAGGTGGGAATTTATTTCCCATTCCAAATTTCCATTATGGCAGTTAGGGTTAACTACATTGCTGTGGGTGTGGAGTCACACGTTGGACAGACCAGGTAAAGATGACAGTTTCCTTCTCTGAAGAACATTCATGAAACAGATGGGTTTTTCAACAATCAGCATGGTCATCATTAGACTCTGAATTCGAGATTTCTTTCATTGAATTGAAATTTCACCATCTGCCATGGTGGGATTTCAATCTGGGTTCCAAAGAGCATTACTTGGGTCTCTGGATTACTGGTCTAATGATACTACCAATAAGCCATTGCCTTGAGTGCCAGTTACATATTTGTTGGCAAGCAAAATGTCTTTGTCATCAACAACTGGTCACCAATCAGCTGCTTGTTACCTTCTGATTCTCCATCTGTACACCATCCCTAGCTCCAGCCTACCTGCACCTAAACTTTCCCCACTGCTTGAACAAACAGCAAAATAAACAGCACTTACCATGAGTGTTCATAACCTGCTTTTATAAAGTGCAGTAACCCTTTCTACCATTCTTGGTTTTCAATATAAATGTTTTTTACAATTTAGTCCACAATCAAAAATATGGAAAAATAAGAATATACATTTTTTGCAGTACCTGTAGATTTAATTAGCACTTAATAATGAAACTTCAAACAGACACAGAAGGGTACGTACTTGATAAAGCAAATAAAAAAAAGCAGAAAGTGCTTGAGAAACTTGACAGGTCTGGCAGTATTTGTGGAGAGAGCAAAATTAACCTTTTGAGTTTGATGCATTAACTTTGGCCCAGATTTCCCAATGTCCACATAATCATTTCTGCAGTGTAGGTGGGAGTTGCCCATCAGGACTCTTCAGAATCCCTGTCATAGCTGATCCACGGAAATTGCCTGGGAAATTGAAGATACTGCTGAGCGATTACCCTTTGCCTGAAATTATGCCTGGTCTGAAAGTGTCCATTTAAATCAAAGAATATGGAAGGTTCCACTGATATTAAGTAAATAGTTACTCTAGACAAGTTAGCCAATTAAAGTCTAACTCTTGAGCCCCAACTTACCTCAAATATCCCGACTACACCTCCCCAGAATCCCTGTCTCTCCCAAAGACCCAAAACCTCTTGTAAATCAGTTCCCATCACACCCACCCTCCCTTTTTGCTGGACCTGGATCCACACACCCACCTACTCCACCCAGGACCTGACACTTCCTCCATCCTGATTGGGAGATGATACCATTGGACAAAACATGCTCCTTGAGACTCCCCTCCCAAGAAGTGACAGCTCCCTCTTTGTCCTGGACTCGGCACACCCCCTAGCTCATGAAGCCCAACCAGCCTCCTGATGTCTTCTACCCACCTTGACTTCGCTAAACACTCCATCACTTTTTCTGAAGAAGGGTCCCAACCCGAAACGTCAACTTTCCTACTCCTCCGATGCTACCTAACATGCTGTGCTCCTCCAGGTCCACGCTGTGTTATCTCCATTACTTATCTGGTCGCCTTCTCTCCTTGTGCCCTGGCAGCCTACCGATATGGTATCATACTTCCTTGGCACACTACCTCCCTGGTACCCTACCTACGTGGAACTCTGGTACCCGACCCACCTTGTATCTTAATGTCATACTTAAGTCACATGCTTACCATTCCACAATGCTATCAAAGTGGCTGGCTGTAATGCTAGCTATTTAACTCAGAATATAGCAACTGACTGCTGATAAAAATGGGGTGTGGTTTGCCTTTCTACATTGCGAGGGACCTGTCAGATTTAAAGTATTCTTTGCAATTCTGAAGGAGCCCAGATTGGAATTTCTTATCAGAAATGCAGAGTGTTTTCTTAACATAAAAAAGAAAGGAGTAGATTGGTAATCAAAGTGTGATTGTCATTCCTCAGAAATCTGGCCTTTATTTCTCTTTTCTGCCAGGCCTGCTGAGTTTTTCCAGCACTTTATGTATTTACTTAAGCTCTCTTTTTAACATTGTTCTGAGTACATAGAGTGAGACTTTGACAAAGTGTAATCGTGTAAAATGGATGATAGTTATCCATTAGCAGTGTGTTAAATATTTCTCCAATTTTTTTATAGAACAGGTTGCTGATTTACAAAAACAGTCTACCCGCAGTCTGGTTTTACATTATTTTAAATGTATAGTTTTTATTTATTTATTAGGTAGGCTATTGCTCATTTCTAGTAAAGCTATTACAAAGAAGATTGATCATCTTACAGGAAACTTATGGGTAAACTATGACTCATCACTTTTGTGGCACATGTTACGTATGTCATGATGAAATCATTAGCTTCTCACCAACCATTAACTGACATTTTATATAGAAAGAAAATAAAATAAAATAAAAATTACTGTGATTAACTGCTCTCACGTTGCTCTTGCTAAATTATTCGCATTTTATAAAAATATGTGCTGGTAAACTGTTTTAACTGGTAGGAGTTAAAATGTTGATAAAAATGAAGGTTTATTAACTTAACTTCTAAGAAAGAAAATATGGACAATAATTCCTTAATTATTATAATTCTGCATTGTTTCTCTAATTCAGGTGCAATGGAATGAACCTGGTGCAATATACAAACTCAAGTCAAAGGTCAAGATTGCTTATCCCAAGTTTCCATTTGCAATCGATGCAAGTGGTAACATTAGTGTGACAGAACCATTAGACAGAGAGGAGATTAGTGAGGTACGTTCCTGTCAATACAGGTTACAAAACATAATTTCTTCAAAGTTTCGAACTAAGTTCTTAAAGGTGGTTAAGGAAAGGAATTAATTGTTATTTTTATATTTAGAGACATAGCTTCACCAATTCGCGATAATCATAGCAGAGAATATTTTCTGGCCATAGTAGAATCTGCATGATTTTGATCCTATTGATTTCTAAATGTAGCATTTTATTGACCTATTATACAAAAACATGAAAAATTGGAAAAATTCAAATAATTTTGGGTGGGGAATTTATTTGCTATAAATGTGATATTGCCTTCAACCACGCCACTTCTATTTTTTATTCATGTTCAGCGATCAGAGGGAAATTGGTTCAAATTAAGTTGTAAAATTTAACATGTCGAATCAGGGAACGAGAAGACCACAAGCACTGTAATGATTGACTTCTTAAACTTCACTTCTTTATTTTTCTGCTTGTATTCTAAGAAGACTTTAGTGCTGAACTTTTCAAATTATTTCTCTATTTTTCTAATTCTGTAACTAAAGATTTTGCACCTAGGAATATTGACCTAGGATGATGCCATGTGTGGTGACATTGCACACTTTTCACTGTACTTTTTTACCTCATGCTTGAGTACACATGACAATAAACCCTCAATCTAAATTTAAATCTAAGTATTCAGAATCCTGTGAGTGAATTCATTGTGGAAACTGTGCCTGTTCTTACAACCTTGACGAAGCTTCCTTGCTGTAGAAAGTCCCAGAATAGTCACTTTCTCTGAGGTGGGCTGCACCCTGGTCATTATTGCGATTAGCATTTCAGCTGGCACTCACTAAGCTCATGGAACTGATTTGATGAATATTTGTAATTGGCAAATGAAACTGTTGCAGAGTAGTTACAGTTATTGAACAGACTATTGACGCATATTTCACAGCTGTAACCATTGCTTTTGTAAGTGATGTAGTAATATTATTAAATCTATAAGAAAAGATACTGTGATCTGCATAAGACTACATTTTGGCAGTGTAGGAGTTGTGCAATTTTCTATCTACTGGTTAATACCCCTGATTATCTCGTTTCTTTTGGTATGTGTTTAGTATACGCTTTTGGTTTATGCGCTGGATGAAAACGGAGAGCCACTGGAAGATCCATTGGAAATTGTGATCACCGTAAAAGATATCAATGACAATCACCCCACCTGTAACTCAGAAGTAACATTTCTTGAAGTGCAAGAAAATGAAAAAATAGGTGAGCATAGTCACATCATAAAATGTAAGGTGTCATGTATGGTCTCTATGTAAAAGAAATTCGGTTAGAATTATCCATCAGTAGTCAAGCCCACGAAAATGAATAACTGATAAAAACAATAAAATATTTCAGATAATGCAATTCTTTTTCTGTTTTTTTTCCACCAATGGGTGTCCCTGTTAAATGAGTAAAATGTTCAAATGTGTGGGGCTGGATTTATTCGTTTAAAGTTGTGCTGCCTCACTGAGGTTAAATGTCTTAAGTTCATTTTAAAAACGACTTTTATCTAGGTAAACGACTTTTTATCTAGGAAATTTGACTGGCAACCAACTTAGTTGCTGCTTCGGAGTCTTTCAGCTCATGAGGTGCTGGGACACTAGTAGTTTTGTAATCAATTTGCCAAGCACTGTGGTTTAGGTATACAAACTGCTAATGTTAAATATTTGTAATGTTTATAGCTTACTTTCTTGATGGGCCAATTTTTTAAAAATGTTTTTCAAGGTTTAAGACTTTTTTAAAGATGTTATGTTGTAAATTAAACACACATTTGTGCAGCTGATCTGTATCTCACATCTGTATCACGCGATGTCAACAAAATAGAAGCTTTAACTGACCCACAGAGGTGGTTTCATCAGAGTCAAAAAGCATTATAAAAATATTGAACTTTTAACATTCTTGCATAGGATGCGGACATGTATGGCAAGCCAGTATTTGACACACGTCCCTAATTTGCCCTTGAGTGGAGTACCTTGCAGGCCACTTCACGAGGCAGTTAAGAGTCAGCTACATTGCTGTGGTTCTGGAATTACATACAGTCTAGACCATCCAAGGACAACAGATTTTTTTTCCCCAAAGAGACATTAATAACACAAACAGGTTTTTACGACAAATGAATGTATTTATATGGGTGCCATTAGACTAACTTCTAGTGCCAGATTTTATCAAATTCAAATTTCACCCTATATCAAGATGGATTTCAAATCCATTCCTTTAGGTCGTTAACCTTGTGTTCTGGGTTATCAGTCCAGTAATATGACCACTATGCTGTGCCCAGCAGATGCAATGGGCTAAATTAAATGCCCTCTCCCCAGAGGAGTTTGGTGTTTAGGGCATTTAATTTGATGGGCAGTGGCAGGTGGAGACCCAATTGCCTGCTTCTGTTACAGTGGTGGGTCGGAAGACTGCCCTGTGGAAAGCTCAAAAAAGAAGCACTGTTAGAGATAGCTAGCATCTCCTGGAGGGGATGAGGTAGGTCCCTTGTTAGATACTCAGTGTGTGATTGAGGGAGCCGCAATTGGAAAAAAAAGTAGAGCCAGCTGCATGTCCTTGCTGCCAACTCTCCTTCCCATGACTCTCGCCCCAGGAATGTCTCTCCTGTCATCACTAACCTGTACCTGAGCCAATCAGCAATCCTGGGCCTTAGTGGATCTAGTACTGACAGCAGCCACCTCTTCCCTGGTGACACTGCTGAACATCAAAGAACAGATAGATTTCCAGCTCTAGACTCCTTGATTCCAAGGCAGATCCGATGCTGCACTTATGTCAGCAAGCTTTCTGAAAAGTAGCTCATGTATGCCTCTCAGTTCCCCATCTGGCAGCAACACCCTTGTCACCTACATTAAGTCCCGCCCAGTGAAGGCGATTAAATGGGTCATTATATTAAAATAACGAATTTCTGAGGTATCCAATGGATCTTTTTCTGTTTCCTTCATATTTAGAGATAGAAAATATTGATCCTGGGGCAGGAGTACATGAAGTAAACTGGAGTTTTGATAATGTCTCTGATAACTGATAATGTCTCATCTCCAACTAAAAGATCACTTGAAAGAAATTGTAACAGAGGGTTGGGTATGGGTGGTTGCAAGTGGGTGAGTGTTCTGTCTATTCTGAGGAAACCTACAGTAAAAGGTGTACTGGTGGAATGGGAATATCTACCAAATTTTCCATTACTCCTCTGCCAAAAACAAACTGACCTGTGACAAGATACCTTTGCACTCATCCCTGAAGTGATATTGTTGGACTTCAGATGAATGTGTAAATCATGGTGATGCATTTGACATTCATGAGATAGAAGTTAGCCAATTAAAATCTTTTCAACTTCCGTTTGAGTGGGAAGCAAGTGGCATTGTTTGCTCTAGCGAATAAAGGACAACTGAATCCTCCACTGTGTATTTGGGACAGAGGTTGAAGGAAAATGTGACCTTCAGGATATTCCCTTTCCATCTCCCTCCCCAATTACTCTGATGTCAAAGCCCATTTTATCCTCCAGGTCACTTTCCACCAATTCTTCCTCATACTAAGTCCTCATGTCTAGCATTACCCCATATTACCTCTTTACATAGTCCAATTGAACCCTGTATTTTCCCTTATACTTACTGAACTGTTATTGCCCTCAATATAGTCCAGCCATCAACCTCTACATTCATTAACACTTTCCAAGAATGGGTACTGAGCTGCAAGAATACCCATACCATTAATCAATTTTTCTTCCTTTCTTGATAACTCCAATTCACAATTTCACTGGACCATATTTATATTTGTTTACTTGCCATGTTAGCCATCTCCTTTATTCTTGCACTATCAATATTTGTCATTTAATCTCTCCTCCATCTATTGTCATAAAGCTTTTTTGTATATTCCCCCTCTCTTCTTCTCCCTGCTCTTGCTTAATATGTTTTACATCTTTAACTCACTGCCGTTCACTACAGGTAAGTCAGTGACCTGAAATGTTAATTCTGTTTCTCACTCCTCAGTACTCCCTTGTCAGCTGAGTATTTTAAGCACTTCATGTTTTTATTTTTGAAGTATATTTTACTTTATGTCACTTGCACATTTTTCAAATTCAGGAAGCTACATCGGAACTGTGGTTGCACATGACATGGATGAAGATCGAACAGAGAATACTCTTTTGAGCTATACCATCATTAATCAAGAACCAAAAGTTCCAGGGGATCAAATGTTCAGTATTGATGATTTCAAAGGAGACATCAAGCGTTTCAAAGGACATCTGGAGAAACGCATTGCACCCGATTATGTTTTAACAGTCCGAGTGAGAGACCAACCAGGTAAAAAGGGAGACCTGTATAAATCTCAACAAGCCAAAAATAATATGATTTATCAACACACAGTCAGAAGATCTCATGACCTTCTATGAATACTTTGCTTTTATTGTTTCATAATTGCTCAGGCTATCCGGGTAATTACTTGGCCCCTCCCTCCCTTCCTTTTTAAACCACAAATAAGACAACTTCACTTTATGCAGTGATCAGTCTTATCTTTACACAGGCATAGGGCAAAATCTTCCGGGACTGCAGGAAGCAAGAAAGGAGATGGGTGCCTTGGCAATGAGGTGAATTGTCAACAGGACTGATAATGGATGCCTTGCCTGTGCAATTAATTTCCAATTGGAAAAGCCCATGGGCAGCCATCCCACCCTGCATCCACTTAAGTGGTCAATCAATGATCGCTTAGTGACCATTTAAGGGTCTCTTCTTGCCTTAGCTACAATATTACCAGCTCCAGATGGATCTCTTGACATGCGGCCTGTACAATTGGGAAAACTGTGTGGGGTGTGTGACAATTAGAGTGATGGAGTTGAGGAGTGGCAGGGTGGTGGGATGGTGAATCCACAATAATTTGTGCATGATTGAAAGCATGAACCTGTGGCAGAGGGATGGCTACTGAGAGCAACCTGAGAGGTAACAAGGTGTAGAGCTAGATGAACCTGAGAGGTATCCTTGCTACAAAACCGTAGGATTTCTCTCTCACCCAGATACTCCACCACAAAATCCCCTCAAACATCTGGTAGCTTTTTCCTCTGCCAAACTTCCTCTAGGCTGATGCCGAGTGCATATCCTGGGGTCCTCAGTTTGGAGGAAGCTCCACAGAGTCTCACACAGAAAGAGTTAGCTCAGGCACAATTGGCTGTAAAGCCTCTGTGTTAGGTTTAAAAATATCTTGCAGGATGCAAGATTCAAAATTCAGAAATAGTTCAATTCTCCACTCATGGTCCTCTCTACCTTTTGCCATCTACATTCTTGACCTGCTCAGTATTCCCTTCCCTGATCTACAATTTATGTGCTCAAATATTTTCAAAGCACATAATATACCAAACAGAATTGTTGAAATTTCCAGTTTGTTGACAGTCATTCTAATAATAGTTTGTATTATTTCATAATTAAAGCTTTTTGTTTCTTTCCTAGGATTGTTCACTGAATGCATCGTCAATATCTCTGTTATTGATATCAATGACATGATCCCTATCTTTGAGAAATCAGAGGTAAAAAGTAAATTTCACCATGCCAGTAATAATTGAAGAAATTAAAGAGGGTGCATTACTGCAGTTTAAAGCAGCAGAATGTAGGACAGGGCCTGATTATGAATTAGAATTTACTTGTGTTTATGTTTATCGACATACTTTTGTCAGAAAGCGACAAAAAAGTGAGTATGGTGCTAACTAATATACATCAACACGATTATTAACACATAAGCTGTTCTTCATATTTGGGTCCAGATTTGGGCTAAGATCAGCAGTCAGTGTTAAAACCTATTTGTTTGAAATGGTTTACTGTCAAAAATTCTTTCTATAGATTTTTTCTGTCCCTACATTAAACAAATATGTAATATTTGTAATTTAGGATACCTCAACATATTTTGTTTGCCAAATGTAATTTTATGTGACTGTTGGTTGATTCATTTTTAATGGGATTGCTTTTGAAGTTTGTTTATTGACTGAAAATTGCTGATTGTGGTCATCATTTGTTTCAGTCCTTGCAGTGCAAATTAAATAAAATTTTATAAAAAAGATGCTGCAACAGGAGAAGTACAACACCTTATAAGCTAAATGCTATAAGGTCGATTTTAGAAGGCATGAACCATGAACCGTGGCAGCAGAAATGACTGGAAAGGAACCTTGTACACGCTAAGGCCTTAATCAACCTTCAGAGCAAACTAGGATATAAAAAGATCCTGTATACAAGATAAGAGAAATTCTAAGAATGGAAAATTTCTCTTTATTGTACAAGAATGAAGTGTAAACAATGCATATGCATAAAGATCAATGATTTTCTGGATGTAATGTGGGAGAGCAATGAGAGACAGCCATATGGCCGAGATTAGACTGACTTGGAACACAACCGAAATAGAGTATTGTACAGAATTCTGTTCAGCCAGTCTAAGACTGAGATTGTTTGGGTAAATACAAAGTTAACCTGTGTGTTTGAGTCCTCTTGTGGTTTGTGTAAGGAGCATAACCACAATTCAGGGAATAGCACATTGAATAGTGATGGAACTCCGATAAATTTGTTTGATACCAGTTAGCACAGCAGTTCAAAGTTCAACTGAGTTTCTTGCATCACATAAACACTAACACAATTTATTAAAATGGTTGAGAACTTTCAATGTTCACTTGGCCCATTTCATAACTCCTTCAGTTGAGAGCTATCTCACTCAGTCTTAATAAATCCTGTGGAGGACCCCTTGTGGTGCAATGGTACCATGTCCTACCCCTGGACTGGGGGCCTAGGTTCAAGTACCACCTGCTCTTGAGGTGTACAGTAACATTGATTAGATAAATAGGTTAAATTTAAGAAAAGTCCTGGAGCTGACTGCAGTGATCTTTATAAGCTGTGTGGTTGTGCAGCCACTCTGAGCTTCCATGCAAACTGATCAGTGTGCAGACACAATGATTCCTTTAGGAAGGGTCCTTTCCACAGGCAATGCCAGACCTGCCAAGTTTCTCCAGCAATTTCTGTTTTTGTTTCATATTGACTTCCAGTTTTGCAGGTTGCTGCCATGCATGGACCTTAGAGGTCTACACAACAGCAAAAAGCAATTGAGGGACATATTCTTAACCATTCTGAACCCAAAACTATCCATATAAACGTGCCTTTACTTGCTAAAATTTTGTGTTTCGATTTTTGCCAGTATGGTCCCATCACTTTACCTGAAGATACTTCATTGGGCACAGTACTGATAGAGATTCAGGCAACAGATGATGACGAACCACTCACAGGCAGCTCTGAGATTGAGTATCGTGTTGTAGAGGGTGATGCCAATGGGACGTTCAAAATAATAACTGATCAAAGAACAAATAAAGGAATGGTGCAGCTGGCAAAGGTAAAGTTTTGAAAAGTATCATAGCTTCTGTGCTTGCAAAATAAGTTGATTTATCAATAATTTCCTGACAGTCAACGCCTGGATCCTATGTTGTGTTGGGTGAGCTAAGGTTGGGTGGTGCAATGTGATACTTTATACTCTTAGCTCTTGTATTTATATTACCTCTTGCATTATATTACCACTTTCTCTTTCACTTGTTCTGTGTTGTTTATGCCACATGTTATGCACAAGAAAAAATCGACAATGAAAATGGGGCTGTCATAAGCTCTAACTGTAAAAGCCATTAAGTTGATTAGCTCCTTCAAAAGGATATGAATACATTTCTGTCAGTAATGGAATTTGTGGTTATAGCATTGGACTTAGAAATTAAAATGCTTACCATAAATGTTTCTGACTGTTAGTGCTTAGCTTTAGGGGAGAGCTAAGAAGAAAGTCAGGAAAATGTTTGAGAAGGACATCTCTTTTGGGCTGCCCATGAACTTGGAGTGGAAGCGGAAAGATCCAGTTATCGTGATCCAGTAGGTACCAGAACATGAGTGGGACTAGGAATGAGGTCCTGCTGAGGGAGTGCGAGCAGTTTGAGGCTAACTTAAAAGCAGAACCACAAAGGTTCTGAATCTCTAGATTCATACCTGTGCCACATACAAATTGACATAAGGGAAACAAGATTAAATTGAATGTGTGGCTCAAAGATTCATGTGGGAAAATGTGTTTTGATTCATTAGGGCATTGGCATCAGTACTAGGGAAAGAGACATCTATTCCATTGGGGCTTCATATGACCCATTCTGGAACCAGTAGGGGATGCAAATATGGGTTTCATCTAATTAGTGGGAGGGAGAGGGGGCAAGGGTCTAATCAAAGGGAAGTTTAAAAAATCAAAAAGAAACAAAAAAACACAGGTGCAGAGTGCTGAAGAGGTAAACAATAATCAAACTGTGACAGATGGGGTAGAAAATTTATGCAAGAGAGTGCAGGATAAATTAGAACCACAGTAACAATGGTTTAAAAAAAATCAAAGTTAAAACCTTTTTCTGGATGCATGTAGCATTTTTAACAAGGTAGATGAATTGATGACGCAAATAGAAATAAGTAACTATGACTTGAAAGCTATTACAGGGACCCTGGTTGCAAGTTGACCAAATCTGGGAATTCAATATCCAAAGGTATTTGATGTTCTAGAACAATAGACAAAAAGGAAAATGAGGTGAGGTATCTTTGTTAATAACGGAAGGTATCAGGTCAGTGGTGGTTCGGGGTGTAGTTGCAATAGTGCAGGATGTAGAATCAGTTTAGATGGAAATAAGGAATGGCAAGGTAAAGAAGTCATGGGTGGGAGATATTTACATGCTACTGAAAAATTTCCTCACTGTAGAACACAGTATAAGTTATTAAATAATGGAGGTTACAAGAAGGGCATCACAATTTTCTTGGGTATGTAATGTGCAGTCTATGCACTGGGGGATTTTGTGTACTAACCTGGAAATAGTTCAGTGAGTGAGTTTGGGCTAGGAAGGGGTGAACTGTTATCCTCTGCAATCTTTTAGTTAGCTGGTTTGAGGCTTTCAACATTGAGCCAGTGATATCCCAAGAATTCTGTTCTCTCCAACAATGTCCTGTGCAATAGAATCTGCTTTCATAATTGAATTAGTTTACAGGTTGCCTCTACTCTTTGCTCAAAGTGAAACATTTTCCTTCCTTTGTCTGAGGTTGACCCTCTTGGGCTTCCCACCACCAGGCTGTTGTTAGCCGGACAGCAAAGAAGAATTTTTAGTGATGCAGTGCTCAGCAAATTTGTCGATGATATCCCAAAGGAAACAAGGGGGTGAAAGGTTCTTGAGGATAAGCTGGAATGTGAAGTAATCAGGTCAGCCTTGAACTTACTGAACGGTGGAGTGGGCTCAAGAGGCCAAGTGACCTATCGCTAATTTGTATGTAAAGTACGTTGTAACTAACCACTTCTGACATGTGATTCTGGATTTCTGTAGTGCCTTGGGAACGTAGACTGAGGTAACATGGAAATGCTGTCCTAAGCACCTCTGCACCTCTCTCCTTAAAATCGATCTCTGTGTCAAATTAATTATTCCAATATCATATGTGGCTCAGTGTCATACCTGTTGATAAGATTTCATAAAGTATTTTGGGATATTTTGCTATGTTAAAGATGCTAAATATACTTTTTCTCAGATGGTGGTGAATCTGTAGAATTCTTTGGCTGTGGAATTCAGATGGCTATTGAGTCTGGACTGTTGAGTGTCTTCTAGGGCTGAGATGAACAAAGTTTTAATAAGTAGTAGGAATCAAGGGCAGTGTGGAAAAGACAGGAAAGTGAAGTTGAGGATTATCATTCAGCAATTATCTCATTGAATGGCAGAGCATTCTTGATGGGCTGAATGGTCTACTTCTGCTTCTACTTCTTATGGGTGATTTTAATTTGCATTTGGATCGGACAAGTCAGATGGGCAATGATAACACGGAAGAGAAATTTGTGGAGCGCATGAGGAATACATTGCAAAACTTACACAGGAGCCTGCTATTTTAGATATCTTAATGTAAGGTAAAGGTAAAGCATCCGTAGTCTTATAATAAGAAGGGTTAATAAGAAACCTCACTGCTAAGGATCCTCTGGGGTGTAGCAATCATAGCATGATAGAATTTCAAATTCAGTTTCAAGGTACGCAACTTTGCTCTCAAACCATCGTCTTCAACTTAAATAAGCATGATTACAGAGATATGAAGAAAGATTTGTTGTAAGTAAGCGAGGAAAACAGACTAAGGGAGATGTTAGTGGATGAGAAGTGGCAGACATTTAAGCAGATATTTCTTAATGTTCATCAAAAACTAATTCTGGTCAAAAAGAAGGACAAAATGACAAGCACAAACCACCCATGGTTGACAAAGGTGATCATGGAAAGTATCCAGTTAAAAACGATGTGGTTAAAACAATTGATAAGGCAGAATGTTGAGATTCTTATTAGAGATTAGCCACGGATGGCTAAAGAACTAACACAAAGCGAGAAAATTGATTATGAACGTAATTAGGCAGAAAATATAATAACAAATACCAAGAACTTCTATGGGCAAATAAAAACAGAGTAGCTAAAGTAAGTGTGGGCCCTTTGAAGGATGCAACTGGGAAAATAATAACAAGGAATAGGGAAATGCCAGATAATTTAAAACAATATTTTGCATCAATCTTCATGGTAGACTACACTATAAACATCCCAAAGATATCAAATAAGTGAGGTGCTGGTGAGAGAAAAGATCTTGTCATGGACCCATCACAAAGGACAAAGTATTTGACAGACCAATGGGATTAAAGGCAGATAAGTCATCAGGATCTGATGGTCTGCATCAGGGGTTTTAAATGAAGTAGGTGCAGCGATAGTGGAGGCATTTGGCAAAATATTCCATAAATCACAGATTTCAAGAGGGTTCCAATGGAATGGAAATGGGTAATGTGATGCCCCTATTCAAGAAGGAAGGAAACTACAGGCCAGTTAGCCTAAAATCTGTCATTGGGCAAAACCTAGTGTCCATTATTAGAGAAGTAATAACAGGACATTTAGAAAAGCTTGATTAAAAACAAGCAGAATCAACATAGATTTGTAAAATGGAAATCATGTTTGACACATTTGTGAGAAGTCTTTGAGGATATAAGCAGAATTGATAAACAGTAACCAATTGGTATAATGGTATTTGGATTTCCAGAAGGCATTCAATAGCATGCCTCGTGAAAGGTAATTGCACAAAAATAAGGGCTCACAGTTTTAGGGTAATGTATTACCATGGATTGAGGATTGGTTAACACTCAAAAGGCAGAGTGTCTGGATTAATGGATCCTTTTCAGGTTAGAAATAAGTAACTAATGGAATAACACCATAGCCTAGGGCCTCTATTGGTTACTATTTTTATTAATGACTTGGAGGAGGCAGCAGAGAGCAATGTATTCAAATTTGCTGACACAGTTTTTGATGAGAACATAAAGAACCTATAATGGGAGATAGAAAGGTTGAGTGAGTGAACAAAAATTTAGTAAGTGGAGTTTGATGTAGAAAGTGTGAGGTCATGCATTTTGATAGGAAGAATCAAAAGGCAGACCATTATTCAAAGAGAGAGAAAAAATGTAACACAGAGAGATCTGGGTGCTTTTCTGCATGAAACACAAGAAGTTAGCATACAAGTAATTAAGAAGACAAATGGAGTTTTGGATTTTAATGTTACGATGTTAGAGTTTAAAAATAATGACGTCTTGTTACAATTGTACAGGGTATCAGTGAGTCCACACCTAGAGTACTTTATGAAATTTTAGTTCCTGTATTTAAGAAAGGATATGCTGGCATTGGAGGCAGTTCAATAGAGATTCATTAGACTGATTCCTGGGAAAAAGGAGTTGACGTATCAGGAATGGTGAAGCGGATAACGCCTTTATTCTTTACATTTTAGAAGAATGAGGGGTGATCATATTAAAACAGATAAGATTTTGAGGTAGATGTTGAGAAGATATTTCCATGAGTGAAAAATATATAACCAAGGGACATTATTACAGCACAAGGGGAGGCTGTCATTTATATCTGAGTTGTGAAGTAATTTCTTCTTGCAGAGGTTAGTGGATATCTAGAATTTTCACCCCGGAGAGTTGCGGTTATTTCACACAAAGTATTTAAGACACAGGCGTTTTTCTAGGATAACGATTTGCAGATGACCTGAAGCCAAGGACTATGTGTGAATGGAGCTTTCGCTGGCAACAAGTAGCTGATTGATATGTGGGTTAGTGATCAGTAATTGATGACAAAGGCCTTCTGCCTGCCAACAACAATGTCATTGGCTCCCAGATAGCTGAACAGCTTAGCAGGTATGAATGTTTGGGAGAAGTCATTGGATCTCTGCAACAGCAGAAGCTGTCTCCTTTCTCTGCAGTAAGAAAAGACACAATAAGCCTGAAAAAAGCCAGTTTATTTTTATCTCAGAGGTTCCTGTGGGCTATGACTCTTAACAAGGAAGTCAGAGACTTTATAAATGTGAAGCAGCCACCTTTCAGAAGAATCAAGGAGTAACATGTTCTAACAAGTCAAAAAGGTCATCTCGGTGAACCCTCCAGTCTTTCCCGCCAGCCATCACCCCCTGGTTTCATTTCCTGTCTGTCACTGTCCATGTGTGTGTGTGCATTGGGGGAGTTTATAGGGGAGTTAGAGTTTTAATTAGTAGAGTTGTTCACTGATGGCTCATAATTGTTTATCTGTAGCTAGAATCTATTTATTTATAGCAATTCTCCCTGAGTATGGGAAGCTGGCCCATGTTTTCTGTCAATCTGGATCTAAGAACCCAGTTAATTTGGGAATTGTTCATATTTTTAAAAAAAGTTGAGCTTTTGTGATAACTCCTGCAATAGCAGGACTTGATTTCCAATGCTCCACCCAGTGAGTGTAACAAACTTTGGGGCTTGTTTGTGAGGTATTACTAAATAACAAAGGTGAAGGAAAGCACCGGATTATGTACTGCAATTAAAACATTGCACTGGAATTAGCAAAGGATTTCTTGGCAATGGCAGCATTGTCAATGTCAGTCTCAAGGAAACTTTCAAAGCTCAGGTTGGTTGAATTGGTGGTAGTTGGTAAACTGGAGGTAGCATTGCCTGGTAACTCAAGAAAGGCAGAGAAATTCAACTGCTAACATAGAGGAAGTACTAGAGAGGCCAAATACTTCAGTTACCGAAGCATCAGAATCAAGCGATATTCAATTATAGTAAAAGGAGCTTTAGGATGAGGAGAAAAATTAAGAAAATGGAGTTGGAAGAAAAGGAGAAAGAAAGGGCAGAAAAAGGTAAGGCAAGGGATTTGGAATTAAGACAACAAGAAATGGAATTAAAAAGGATGGAAATTAGAACATTCAAATCAGAATTGCAAAGAGAAGAGAAAGGGATGAAATATGAATATTAGTTTAAAAAGCTGCAGTTGAACATGTAGGCTGATGTAGACCTTGATAGGGAGAATATTGGTCATAATTTGAAGTCCAGTAAGAAAACGTTTACATTTGCAAAATGCACTATCCCAGCAAGGTATAACAATAAAGTTGGATGTGTGAACCTCAAAGTTGTCATTGAAATTCAATTCTCTTTAGGAATGGAGAGACTTATTCCATTTGAGTTATTTAATTGTTTTTACTGTCTGTTCCCTCAGCCACTAAACTTTGAAGAGTATTCATCTTACAAGTTAAAAATCAGCGCCACAAATCCGGAACCACTTGTGGAAGGTGTGGCGTATAACTCAAGCTCTTTCACCTTCCTGATTGTTAATGTGACTGATACCGATGAACCACCACAGTTCTTAGAATCTTCATATCGAAAATGGATATTAGAGAATGCCTCCAGGGGTGATATCTTGCTTAAAGTGGAAGCCAAAGATCCTGAAGGTGGTGAAGTGAGGTACTAAATAGTCAGAATCTGCTTACTAAAACATATTTAAAGGTTTACACAAGCACAATGCTAGTGGATATTCAAGACTAGAGCCTCAAAGGAATTCCTCTTTTTATTCATTCATGCTAGGCAGCATTTGTTGCCTATTCTTAATTGCCCAGAGGGCAGTCAAGAATCAACCACATTGCTTGGGTCTGGAGTCAATGTAACCCAAACTAGGTAAGGATGCCAGTTCCTTCCCTAAAGGATATTAGAGAACCAGATGAGTTTTTCCAACGATCAACAATGGATTCATGGTCATCATTACACTCTTAATTCCAGGTTTTTATTGAATTCAAGTCCCCCACTGGACACAAGCATCTAAGATTGGACATTTGCATAATTATTTTTCAGAAAGTTAGCTGCAGCCAAGAGAGATGTACAGCTGCTTACATAACAAACTTCAAAACCCCAACAACTGCTGAAAGCTAAAATAAAACTCTGGTTCTGTAGGAGCCTGACTGTACCCATTCATGCTGCTTTTCTTGTTCTAACATAGAAAAAGAAAACCCCAAGGCCTCACAAGCTGTTTACTTTATTGTCTTGGAAGAGACAGCTTTCCATCTATGGTTTAAAACGTCTCTTCCAAAAAAAAGGACAATATACATCTCTTTAAAGCCTAGTATCATCATAGACTTTTTATCTGAAGTTTCTGTTTTCTATTAGTTAACCAACTGACTATCCATCCTAATAAACCATCTCCAACATTTGGGCTTGTATCTTATTAACTAGCTTTTTGTGCAGTATCTTATCAAATGACTTCTGCAAATGATGAAATAGAATGTGAAATTAACTATTGAGAAACATAAAAAATGACCAGTAAGAGCTTCTGTAAGTATGCAGAAAGAGAAAGATTAGCAAATACAAATGTGGACTCATTATAAGCAGAGACAGGCAAATTTCTAATGGGAATAAGGAAATGTCAGAGATATTAATCACTATCACAGATGTAAATGTAACTGGCCTGTAATCTCATGCTTTCTGTTTCCCTACCTTTTTGAGTAAAGGAGTTATAATTGCAATTTTCCAATTTAATGGAATCATTCCTGAATCAAGAAAATTTGGAAAATCAAAATGATATATCAACTATCTCAGTCATAAATTCTTTAAGATCCCAGGATGAAGGTCATTGGGACCATACACTTGTCAGTCTGCAGTTGCAAGAATTTTCTTAGTAACACATCGCTAGTAATTGTGAGTTTCCTCCCTCTTTTCCATTTCCTGATTAATTACTGCTTCTAGAATGTCATTTGTGTGCTCTATAGTGAAAGCCAATACGAAACTCTTGTTCAAATCATCTGCCATTTACTTATTTTCCATTATTAATTCACCACTCCCACTTGTGTGATTTAATGTTAAATTTGTTAATGCTTTTCTATTTTAAATTTTGTTTTTATGTCTTTGGTTAGTTTCCTCTTGTACTTTAATTTTTCCCTACTTATTAATTTTTTGGTCATTCTTTGCCATATTCATATCCTGTTCAAACTTCTGGCCTGCCACTTCTCTGCAAAATTATATGCTTTTTATTTAGGTTTGATTTTTTTAACGTTTTTAGTTAGCTATGGAGAGAGTGGCTCCATCCCTTGGAATTTTTCTCTCACTCTATAGAATGTATCTGTTCTGTATATTCTGAAATACCTATAAATGTCTGCTACTGAATCTCTATTGACCCTTTGTTTAAGCTAATCTGCCCATCACTTTAGCTGGCTCTGCGTTGAGACCTTATTCATATTCCAACAAGTAGTCTTGGACCCATTCTACTCTTTCTTGTACTGAACACAAAATTCAAATATCTTATAGTTACTGCCTCCTCATTTGCTTTGAGACATTTAATTAATTCTATCTCATCGCTCATTACCAGTCTAGTCTGTCCTCTGGTAGAGTCCAGAAAATGCTATTCCATGAAAGTATCCCAAAAACATATAAACTGGAATAGATTGCACTTTCCCTAGTATTAATGCTAGTGCCCCATGAACTGGATCCAACTTCTCCCACACCAGTTGTTTAGCCATGCATTCTAATCTGATTTGCCATGTGTCAATATGTATATGGCTCAGGTATCTAAGATTACTATTCAGGTCGATGTGCCTGAAATCTGATATCCTTGGTAACAGCATCTAATATCTGAGGTCATAACCATTAAACTGTGACTTAGATGTTTGGGGGCATATTTTCTTGATGCACAATAGGTTGCCTGTGGGTTGAAGATCAGGAACCTACACCCAAGAGCAGAGCTATTTTTATACTTATGCCAACAGGCAGTGACAGGCAGAATAGCAAAAGGGTGGAGCAAATTCTCTGTGAACACAAGAAGATTTTTTTTTAATTGAGGAGCTGGTGTGTATGTCAATGAGTAGCAGGATATGAATCATTCTTCTGTGACAAGCCTGATAATACATTGTATGAAGTAGGTGATATTTCAGTGCACTGATGCTTTTGACCAGCCAGGTTGGATTATTATTGGAATCTGGTGGGATAAGCCTGCCACTGAAATTTAGAATTCTTCCCATTTTAACCGTCTGTTGCCCAGTATCCTTAAATATGGTCATTACTCACAATGTCATGTGCTTTCACAGTGGTCAATGAGAGTGAGCTGCAAGCATTTTGTTGCTTTAGCAGTATCTGTATATTAAGGGAAGTTACAATGAAGAGAAATATTCTAAATTGAAGTACTACATTTAGTAACTTCTTTTAAAAATCATTTTATCCTTTAGCTGTTCTTTTGTTGTCAGAGTACCATTTCAGATTTTTTGGGAAAATCTAAACATAACTGTTTAAATTTTACCATGTGCCTGATGCTGGCAGATGGAGATTATTTGGATTGAGAAATAAAACCAATGATCTGCATTTGATTATTTAGATATAGCCTACAAGATCCACTTGAATGGTTCAGGATTGACTCTAAAACTGGAGAAATCTTTGTTAAGGATGAATTGGATGCAGAAAAGCAAAAATATCTTAAGATCACGGCTGCTGCAATGGAAAAAGGTAAGAACTATACACTCGTGCTTTGAAGAGGAGAATAATAAGACTAAATGAACATTAGGATTGGAGTGGGAGTAGGCCACTTGGCCCTTCAAACCTGCTCTCCCATTCAACAAGATCATGGCTAACCTTCTACCTCAAATCTAGCACCCTTCACTTTTTCTACATCCCTTAATTTCCTTAAATTAAAAACAAATTTGAGGTTACACCAGAGATACCATTCTCCATTTCTGATCATGGTCAACATTATGGAGGAACAACAGGGAATTAATATAACTTAACAATGTTCTGTGGCAACACATGTGTATGATGGGATTTCAAAACACAATGATATTACATTTTGTTCAGGTTTCCACCACCACCACAGAACAAAAATTGTTCTTAACAAATTCACAAATTCTCATCCTTGTTTTTAAATCTCTTCATTGCATTTTTCTGTTATCTCCCCTAGGCTCACAACTTCTAATCTATTTGTGTTCCTCTAAGTCTGGCGTCTTGTACATTCCCAATTATAAATGCTGTGTATTTGGTAACTGTGTCCCAAATTATCCAGGCCCTGAGCTCTGGAATTCACTCCCAATACTTCTCTACCTTCTCGCTTCATTTTTATTCTTTAAGATTCTCCTTAAAACCTACCTCTTTGTCCAAGCATTTATTTATTTGAACAAATGGGCTTGACTTTCATCACTGAAACCTGTCTTGAAAATTGTAAGTTTCACATCTCCATCTTGGAAAACACCAGTTCATAAGATGGGATATTTATTGAAGGGAGCTTGGTGCCTGCTGACATCAGGTCAACCAACTCTGCAAAGGTTTGTGCAGAGTTTCAAGGGCTGAAGACTGTGGAGACAGGACTTTAAAAAAACCCACCTCAGTACTGTTCATCTCAGCTGTTTCAAGAAAAAGACCAGCAGTTCACACCCCTCAAATCCATATCCTCCACATGCCATTTCTATATTACCTCCTAATCAACACATACATGCCCATGGCTCCTTATAGTTTCAATGCTGATGTATGCCGCTCCTCCCATCACGCACAGCCCCCCCCCCCAAAAATTGGGCAACCCCCCAACTCATTCCAAAGTATGGTCATGCAGACGTCATCATGACCCCATCATGCCCCCACGACAAGCTTGTATTCTTGTCCAAGAGCCCAGACACCATTCAATTGTTGAAACAGTAGCACCCCAGCTTGATTGGCAGCTCTAGTTGTCTAATATCTCAATTTTACATTTTTATTCACAGAAGGTTAAGTGATCTCAAGTCCCCTGCTTTTGCAAATATTGCAGCTTAAAATATCTGGACAATTGATGCTTTTATTACACGGTGGTAGAAGGGAGCTTTATAAAACATATTCATTTTAACATATTGGAAAATTATAAACAATTCTCTTTCAAAAGAAAACTTTTTTAACACAAGCAACTGTCATGCAGTCGAGATTTTTTGCTTCTATATAGTGTTTGATTCGGCATTAAAGTGCTATACCTTAGCATGGTGGGACGAGGAGGCAAGGTGAGATTTTGGGGGCATACTTTGGCATGGAGTGAGTGAGGCAGATCTTTTGATCTCAACTTTCAAAGGTTCCTTCATACATGTTATTGTTCATCCCTGACGAGCGAAGAATCATGACTCTTTCAAAATTTGGTTCAACTCCATGAACATTGCGGAGAGGAATGCCACACCTATTTCTGTAATGGAGCCAGTTGGGTGTGAGCTTGCAACATGGATCAGCCCTAAAAGACAGTCCTGAAGGTCTGAAACCCCAGGCATAGTGTCAGAAATCCCACAGTTGGTTCCCAACCACCATTTTTAAAAACGTTACCATATCTACCTGACTTAGTGAAATTCTAAGCCTTCTCTTGATGTGGCTCATTATCATATTTTGCTGTATAATGCTCCTGTGAGGTGTCTTTGGCTGTTTCATTATTTCAAAGGTGTGATTTAATTATAAGCTGCTATTATTCAGTTTGATTTTATTTTGTTCCAAATATTTTTGATTAATACAATTTAATATGTGCTTACATGATGACATAATTACAGATCAAGCTTTAATCCATGTGTTTAAAAAGATATTTTTAAAGCTACGGTATTTTTAAAATGTTACTCCAGATTATTTTCTTCGGTTCAGGATTACTTTTCAATCTGTAAGTAGAACTTGCATCCTCACGTATCAAAATGTGACTTTAACTTCCCAGCATTTTGCCTGTTTTATATCAAGTTTTGAATGAGTCATAATTCGAGAATTGTCATTAAAAATCTAACTGGTTCTTCAGGGAAGGAAAAGTTCCAGACTCTACCTGGTCCAGTTTTAATGGGATCCCAGTTCTGCCCTAATGTGGTTTTCTCAGCTGCTAAAATGTCTTACCATACCACTCAGTGTACATAACTATTTCACCATCATTTCAGGGCAATTATGTATTGAAAATAAATGGTGGTTTTGTCAATGATCCCACAACCTGAGAATGAATAAAAACTTGACCTTAAAATAAAAAGTTATACCTCTTGGTATGTCATGTTAGTTCTTTATGACTTCTAAGATCATGTCTTGCCTAACACAGTATCAGCATTGTATTTTAAGACTCAGAGTCAGCTTGCAGATCAACTTGGCGCAAATCAGTGCATGGATTGTTTAGCCTTTTTGACAAGACACAAATGTGAATATGAAGCACAACACTCATGTACAGTAATCTAAATTTTAATCTAAAGCAAACTGATAAAAAAATTAATCATATTTCTGTTTGAAACCAACATGACCACAGCAAATACTTCAGAGTGATTCATGCAGAATCTGATCACTAACCAACATCACATCCAACTCAATCTAATTTTAACAATTAGTAGATCCTCCTCCTCCACATAACTGTCTCTTGATTTTGGCAGCAAGGACTTCAGCTGCCTTGGCAAAGTTTGAACTTTCTTTTACACCCCACCTTATTCCAGTCTGTCCAGTGCTCCTCTATCTCCCTCACCCTAGCCCAGTCTCTACTCTCTCCAGTGCTGCTCCATGCCCACCCCACGCCAAAATGTCTCTTTTTACTGATTCTGCAGAGTTGGTCCTCCAGGGTAGAAATGACCACCAAGTTAGTTTTCAACTGAATTGGATTGCTAAAATCAGAAATTGCTTACATGCAGTTTACCCTTTGTGACGTTCTGAGCTCTGTGTCTGCAATAGTAATGGTCTCTTACACCTCCATGGAATTGCTTTGAAGTGAGGAGGCCAATCACAAAGCAAGAAGGAGGAAGAGATTGGGAAATAAAAATAAATATAAATTGGAGAATTCAAGGACCATTCCTATGCTTTGAAACTTTCTTATTAGATACTATTTTCATTAAAACAAATAGTTTGATTCACCTGCTCATGCCTCTAATTTTCCATTCTGTGAAAAAAAAACTTGCCTCTAATCGGAGTTTGTCATTCATTCAATACTTTCTCACAAGGAATGCTGTAGTAATGGAAAAGCCCTGATTTTATGTGGTACAGCAGCAGAAAGGTCTCTCCAGTAATTCAACTAAATGCAATACATTTTGATAATCACCCTGCATCTTCCAAGTGTTGCATGTAGACTCAGTGTTCAGCTATAATGCATAGTGCCCAGTTTCTATTATTATGTTCTGACTCATTTTCATTTTTGTTGTGAAATATCCTTCTCCTGTCTTCCTCCGCCCTTCTTCTTAGCCACGAATTGCTAGCTGAGGGAAAGGTCAAAGTCCATCTAATTTGTTTTCTACCATCCTGAGAGACATATGATACCAGGATAATTGTTGACTAATAATAAAAGACAATGTCTATCAATTAGTCCACAATGCACCTGTATACTGGGAACAGGCTGCATTAGAAAATATGGAAGGAATGGTGTTTGATAAAGTAGCCATTAGAGTAAGCGGGCTTCCTACTTCCATTTCAATATGTATAGTAGGAGATGTCATATCTATTGGGAATGCAGAATAACAAAAACTTATAGTTTTCTCATTAATCAGCATCCATTAAAACTTAAAGATATATTGAGGTTAGGAATACTGTGACATGTAACTCATCGCCTGACTCCTGAATGCTGTCTACCATCTGCAAGATACAAGTCAGAAGTGCAATAGAATTCTCCCCACTTGCCTGGATGAGTGCAGCTCCAACAACACTCAAGTAGCTTGACAGCATCCAGGTTTAAGCATCCCACTTGATTAGCACCATATCCATCACCTTCAATATTCAATCTATTCATCATTGATGCATATTTGTATCATTATGTGCATGTACAAGATGCACTGCAGTAATTCTCCAAGGCTCATTTGACAGGATGTTCCAAACCCGCAGCATCTAACATTTAGAAGATGCATGAAAATACAAACACTGTGAGCACCTCTCCAAGCCCCATGTCATCCTGACTTGGAACTATATTGCAATTCCTTCACTGCCGTTAGGTCAAAAACTTGGACACCCCTTCCTTAAAGCATTGTGAGTCTATCTACAACCTAACGTCAGCAGCAGTTCAAGAAGGTAGCTCACCGCCACTTTCTTCAGAGCAATTAGGAATGGCTAATAATTGCTGACCTCGCCAGCAACGCCCACATCCCTTGAACGAATAAAGATACATAAAGACTGATTCATCAGTTAATGATTGTTCTTAAGTTAGTTGTATTTGGCTATCGTCCCCATATATCAACACAACGAAACTCATAACTGTAAGAGTATGATGAAGGATTCTTTTGTATGAGATAACCACAATAGTTTAAAAAAGGATTTGCTCCCTGAATACAGGCAATCACAAGATTGCTAGATAAACATAATTACCTGTTTCCCTGACTCATCCCTTTTATGGGACCCAAGTCTGCACAAAATGTTTCACCCCTCAAGCATGATTTATTTTGAGCATAGGCCAGTGAGCCTTACCTTAGTAGTAGTGAAATTATTAGCAAAGACACTAAGGGAAAGGATTTACTTGTGTTTAGAAAATAATGGACTTATTAGGGATAGTCAACATGGCATTGTGAGGGGCATGCCGTCTCACA